GCTTTTAACTGGGGGCGCCAGTCAAAATCTAGGGCGTCAAATTGGTCAGGGCCGGCCCTGACCAAATTGACCAATCCGAATAAAATATTCTACTAATCTGTGTTATAAATATATTTAAGTACTTTTTTATAGTAATATTTTATTGCACATTTTTGGAAGACAAACATAACAACAAAGACGTGGACACGACACAAGGACAATGACAAAAGAAAAGCTGTGTAATAAGTCTCTCTCAAATCTCCAAATATGTTCTTCTTCCACAGGGCCCGTCCCTCCATTAAGGACTGCTTCAATAACTCCTGGCTCCAAGACGCGTACCTGATGCGGCTCCGCAGGCAGACCCTCACCTTCACCACCACCCGCCTCAAGGAATTCTTGGCCGACCAGCAGCGCAGGCGAGAGCAGGTCGCCACCAAGCACAAAGTCCTCCTGCGGTCCTACCAAAGCTCGCCACAGACCCCAACCAGCCCCGCCACGCCAAATGTGCCAACCACACCCACCACAACTGTCACCCAGTGAACACAGGCTTCCAACACGGAATGTCAGGAGGGGGTGGGGGGCATCCTCAGAGCGACACAATACTTTGGGCTGCGGGATGGGATGGTCCCTTCAGGATGGAGTCATTGAACTTGAAAATAAAACTCAAGAAACCAGCAGTGGCAGCAGAGATGCCCTTAAGGGAACTCTTATAAAGTCACATGAGCCTGACTGTATTTTTATATGGTGGACCTTGTTCACACAAGGCAGGATGTTGTCTTCAAGTTAGTACCTCAAGGTTTGTAACATTTTGGATAAACCCTTTCTTACCGTCAACTCTGCTAGAGGGAATGCATATTGGTACATAGTGACCCACCATGGAAGGCCTGAAAGAGTGGTAATAGAAGTTTGAGGTTTTACTTAAGTTAAGTTTTTCACCACTTTCCAAAATAATGAAGCACAATTTCAAAGCCTGGAGTGCTAAAACAATTGATGCCTTGTTTCCCTTTATCTCTTAGTCTCATATTCAAATGTTTCCCGACCAGGGGTTCATTCTATGATGGCTAATTCTACGCCCACGATTAATCACTAAAGCAGTGTTATCTGTGCTACAGTACCTACGTTTTTATACTGCTGTAGCATCTTGAATATTGTAGCATGTCCGGTTACTTTTTAAATTCAGAGGACATATGAGAAGACTTTTTACAAGGGCTATTAGAAAATGACTCTTACTATCAGCACAAAACACTTCCTCTTATGTTATTTATTCGATCATTGAAAATCTGATTTTTGTTTTGCAATTTGTAATAAGATTTTGGCAAATTAGCTTCCAGTTTAGCTAAGTTCTTCCACTTATCCCAGTTGAAAGAATCTGCAGTGATAAGCTATATGTATCCCATCTCTGAGTTTACTAATATGAAGTTTACAAGTTTGCTGAGTCAGTCAGCTAGTGTATTTGTAGACTGTGCATACAGCACTTTGTCTGCTATCCAAGATCATTGTCATTATGAATTATTCAGGGAGGTTAGTTGTAAAGTGAATCACTTTAGAAGCCCACTGGTGATACTGGGGTTCCTCCAAGTGCCCTTAACCAGTTAGCATACAACATAGCCTCTCCAATTCATTGAGAAAGACAGTTTATAAAGACATAAGGAAGTGGTTTAGCTATTTTTCTAGCTGTAATATTCAATTGCTAACAGCTGCCACTTTTAAAAAAAGGTTTGGTTTAATTGGATTTTATAATGGCCAAATCTTGTATAAATAAAGTTAGGTAAGATTGAAAATGGTGATAATCCAATTAAAAAATATAATGTAATTGTTATTCCCTAAATGAAGCGTCATACACCTTGTTTACGAGGCCATCCTATTGACCAAACACAGTGGTCCACACATAAATATCAACACATGCAGCTCTAGGAAATATCATTATTATTTGTAAGAGACACCTACTCTTATATGGGATATTTTGAGGAATTTACCTTAAAATAAATATTGTTAAAAAAACGTGTCATCTTCAAGAGGATAGAAATGAGAGGTTTACTTTTTAACAGTTGCAGAATGGTTAAATATTATATATATATATATATATATATCTTTGCCCCTTATAGCATAAAACTTGACCTCTAAGTTTGAAGATTATAATCAAACGCATACTGATATTGGCTCTTTGGTTGGATTGAAAGTAGAATATGACTCTGCGGCATATTGGTGTTTAATGTCTGTTCCAAAAACAATTGTGTGAATGCCTAATATCCACTTTTGTTCTGGAATTCTATCCTCTGGCGTCGGTACCAGCACGTCTGCTATAACTTTTTTTTCATGAAATCAGTGATATTTTCTCTGGTCATTAAACGGCTAAATGGTGTTGTTTCTTTCATGTTGCTTTGCCTTGTGAGGGTAAAATCAGTTTTAAAACCAGCATGTGAAACTTTTGCACAAATGTCTGATCACTTTGTGTTTATATAAGGTACAGATTTGCACACTAAACATGACTTAATTTCCGTGACATATGACTATACAAAAGAAAGTAAAAAGGACTTTCACACTACATAAAAATGCTTCATACATCCAGCTTAATCAAGATATGTTTGAATCTGTGCATTGACTAAAAGAATGTTTGTAATTCTATGAAATTATTTTGCTAGTTCTATATATTCTAAAGTATGGAAGATGATTAGTGCCACATGTGACATGCCACATCCTCTTCTGTATGCTATTGCAAGATAAATACTGCCCTTCTCTGCAACTCTTTTTTCATTTTCCTATATGCAAAGTAATGTTTTAAAGCTAAATGAAAACATGCATAATCAGCATGAGAGTGCAATTTTGCATTCAATTCTCAACGTCAATATAACAAATGTGCAATGTATTACGTTATTTAATCATATACAAATTGCAACTATTTGTAAGCAGACAACAGGGTTTCGATTTTTTTTTTTAATGCTCCACATTTTGTTATACAATGCCGTATTTTGTGGAATGTGTTGCAGTGCCTCCTTATGGATATTAGACCCACAGAGAAAATAGATTTGTTACATGAATGACAAGTTCTTTATTTGGATTATATGAATGTGACTGCTTCGTGTGTGTTTCGCAATTTGTTCATTTATTGAGTGACTGTGTTTGTTAAAGCTGCTGCTTTTTATTTTGTGATCCTTCTGAATCAGGCATGGAAAAAAGGCATGACAGCTCTTATGGCTATGAACAATAAAGGAAATGTGACAAAAACATATGGATACAACGGTCCATTTTGTTCATACAGTGGATGGAAGGATGATAGGAAAATTGGAGCAGAGCTATGAATTTAATATGAACCATTCTAAATATAAAATACAATGATCTTAGGTTATTGTCATACAATGTTTTTAGTAGGGATGACCCTGACATCGAATTATGTGTATATTCTCCCCAGGGAGGACTGTTCAACAGCAAACAAACTCGCTTGAAATGCTCAGGAGTATTTTGATATGAAAGCTTTATAGGGACAGGAAATTATCTCCAACACGTGGTGCACGTCTTGAATACATTTCATCAAGCTGAGTATTTCCTGATATCCAAAGAAGGGACAAGAATGTCTGTTTGATGACATGTTCTAACTGATCCTTGAGGACCTTTTCATATTAAGCTTGAAGTGTTTTGAGGATGCTGACTAAAGTGGATCTGAAGGAGTGCAACTTCGAGGGTTTCCAAGGTAAGAAATGTAATAATAATTAAAAAATGGGTGGTGATTGTGCTGCGACTAACATTTATTTTCTTTGTTGTTTAATTGTTCTATTATTGTTTTGATCCATCCATTTAGCTGCTTTTATTTGGACATACATTTGGATCTGCCTGTATTCACACTCCCAGCTCAGCACCTGCCTCACTGACATTACAATTTGGATACAAAACAATTTTCTAAAACTTAACTGGGACAAATCGGAACTTACAATCATTGGCCCAAACTCACTTACCCGCTCAACCCAAGATTTTTCTCTTACCATCGATGGCTCCATTGTCAACCCCTCCACTCACATCCGTAACCTTGGCATCATCCTCGACCCCACCCTCACTTTCCTCCCTCACATCAACCAGGTCACAAAAAACGCTTTCTTCCATTTAAAGAACATCGCCCGCATCAGACCCTCCCTCTCATCGACCGCTGCTGAAACTCTGATCCATGCCTTTATAACATCCCGACTGGATTACTGCAACGGCATACTTTTTGGATCACCTGCATTCATACTAAAAAAACTTCAATATGTCCAAAACTCAGCTGCCTCTTGCTCACCTCCACCCGACGCTGCGACCATATCAACCCCTGTCCTCCATGACCTCCACTGGCTCCCCATCAAACACTGCATTGACTTTAAAATATTACTTTTCAGTTTCAAAGCCCTCAACAACCTTGCCCCCCCCTACCTCTGTGGCCTCATCCAACGACACACCCCCACCCGTCGCCTCAGGTCTGCTGAAGCTAACCTACTGCAGCCCATCAGGACAAAGCTCCAGACCTGGGGTGATAGGGCCTTTGCAGCAGCCTCCCCCACACTCTGGAACTCCCTCCCCAGCCACGTCGGATCAACACTCTCACATCATTCAAACAATCCCTCAAAACTCACCTTTTCACTCTTGCCTTCAACTCCTAATCAACTAACCCCTTGCCCTTATCTCACCCTTCGGGATTTGTCCGTCGCTCGACCTGCGGGCCGAAGACGGCGTCCGACATAAGGCGACCAGGTCAGCGGCGTAACGGTGGCACCCTCCTTCCCACCCGGGCACGGGAGGAGGTTTGGGCTGGTTGCCCCGACACCAGGGCCTCAATACCGTCCGATATGCAGACGGACAGTCCGCCGCATGATGTCGCCCGGAGCGCCCTTCCCTCGGTCGTTGCGCTCCCTCTCCCTCCCACCGTTCTCACCCAGAGGGCTCCCAGACGGGTTCCTCCGCGATGAGTTCCCGGTACGGTACCTTGCCGTCCGAAGACCCGTGAAACCCGCAAGTATTCCTGCGAGGCGCGCCAAGCGAGTCCCGGACGATGAACCACACCCGCTCAATGGCGCTTCCCGTACAGCCCTTCGTGAAAAAGACAGCCCGGTGACCACCTCCGGGACACCATACGCCGAGCGCCGTTCCAAGGGGGGAACCCGAACAAAGGGTACGCGGGGGTGACGGTTGTCAAAAGGGTACGCCCACCCCGCTACTCTCTCATCGCCAACTACACCAACCGCAGGAGATGTACAGACAAGTTTGTTCCCCATTTGGCGATGCAAGAGTGTCGGTATCTGATAAGTGTTTTACCCGGTCCGTCAAATAACGGGAGGGACGCTTAGTTCTTTCGGTCCTCTGTCAGTGTCTACGGAACCCACCGACGTACAAGTCGGCCCCAAAACCTCACAGCCTCGTGGACGTGCTCACTGCTCCCCTCTGTAAAAGCCTCAGGGCCCCACCAAGCCGGAGGTACACGGTAGTGTTGCGCCCGCGCGCGCGCGCCACCCGGTACGTGTTTTGTGCGTGGAGAGGGGACCTCTGGGCGTCCTCGCCTGCTGATCAGCTCTCCCTAACGGTAGCGGTGGTACCGCTGTTGTCGAGCCGGGGTAGGAGTGCACGAGTCGTGCGTCGGCGGCTGGACCCTGCTCGTAGACCGGGGGACCCACGGAGCCCACCGTACCCGAGGCGAGACGGATCATGTCCCTCAGGAGGTCCGGACGAAGAGGCACGGGGTAGGAGTCGGTCGCACCAACCCCACTCTCTCGAAACTTTGGGGACGCACAAAAACCCACCCAACCAGTCGGTGCGGTCTAAGGGACCTGTCGCCCCGGAGGTCCCAGGACTCATCGCGGTCCTCTGAAGGCCTGGCGGAACTAAGGCGGATGCGGAAACCGGGCGCCCGTAGTCGTCTTGTCTTCACACCCCACTCTCCGTCTTTCGGCCTTGATACTGTGAGTCCTGTTCGGGCCTCCCGGTCGGTAAAGGCCCCGAACCCCTCGACCCACATGCCAGAATGTCGGGTGCTTGCCCTTTCTTTAAACGGCCGCGACGGGGTTTTAACGCATATCGGTCACCCAAGCCAGGACGTCTCATGAAACCCTCCGACGCCCGCTTCACCCAGACGTCCGTGACCGGTAGTTTTCCTTTTCACCAAGGAGGTGTCTCTGTTCCACACCGAGGCAATGTCTCCCTTCAGCGAAGGGGTGTCCCGGGTTCCTTGTGGCCCCCCCCGGTGTCCCGGCGCGAGAAAGCCTGTGGGAGTGAGTCCCAGGGCCGCTCGCCAATCGTTGTCACGGAGTTAGTCGCCAGAATCACAGGGGTAAAATAAAGGGGGAAAGGGGCGGACCCGGTACTTGGCCGGTGGGGGACGTAGGGGGACGGGCCTCTTCCGTCAGTGCTGCTCAGCAAAGTCTCTGAACAACAAATCATCGATTCTCGAATATCCTCTAGGGAGCAAAGGCCCGTCTCCCGTTCTTCACGGGACGGTGCCTTCCCTACCGATCCAGGTGGGTCTGGAAGGATCAGTGCAATCCACACATCAACATCACAACGACGACCCACATACAAAACAAGGAGCACCGCCGCTCCATTGAAAACATCACCCCCCCTCACATCGCTGGACTATCCTACGGACCTCCCGACAGTGAGTCTGTAGGGGCAAGAGAGACGTTAGTGTCTCCGCGGTGTCACTACCGAGAGGCAAATCCAACGCCCAAGGGGACACCAACTCGTCTGCCCCAATCCCGCACCTTCAACACTGCCAGTCAGGTGACACATATTCTATCCAACACCCCTCACGACACTCAACCCAAATCTCGCAAATCCTCCAACTTGGGTGTTCGGACATGTACTTGGACAAACTAGTAGAGCCTCTTATTCTTCCTCAAGTAATTTTCGGATTATTGGCACTTCCGGACAAAGCTGGAGGGAGACGATTGCACATGTCGTATGTTTAGTAATGCATAACCGCTTAGTAATAATTCACTGGCCATCGCTCTCCCGTACTGCTCGGTTCAAAGTGAGGAAAAAATAAGTTAAGGTTTGAAACCAACTACCATCTTATACAAAGGACACAGGTGCGAAGTATTTCGGTATTTTTGCTCGGTAGTCTCGTGCACGTCTGAGAGGATCTTACCAAAATGTCATCAAGCGGGAGGAAGAATAACTATGTAGGTACACCAGGCGGATATCTTTTTTGAACGGAATCGAACAGGTATCAAAGGGTGTCTCGTCTGCGGGTGTAAGATACTGCAGAAGCGACCGCGTATATTTTGCAGCCGTATCGACCTTCTTCAGGAAAACTTAAGAGAATAGGTGAATAGGAAATTGGGCACGTGCAAAGTGGTCTCCAGTTCCGCGTTATCGATCCCTAATCCCAATCTTAAATAACTCCGACTAAAAACCTTATAGCGGCTTGCGGTTGGGACCGAAGAAAAGAGAACAGAAGGGCTGTTGTCACCAGGCAAAAGAACGTCGAGTAATTTCGGGTCGAAACATGGAAGTAACTTGCGAAGCTGAGGGATAGAGAAGCCGTGATTGTAATGTAAATATTTCGAAAAGGACCACGAGTTTCGCGAATGTTCGTTCATTTTGTTTTTATTGTTGTTTCCATCTTTCGACGATT